AGCACCAGTTACACAATGCGCGCGACAAGAGTATAGCGACTTCTGTTGCAGCGCCTCAGTTCATAGTCCGCGGCGCAGTCTCCAAAAGCGGCCACAGATGGCACCACTTGTCGGGCGGAGTATAGCTGCGGCACAGGCAGCTGCGCGCGCAGCTGCGGCTATGGTCTTGATTTGAGAACATTAAAAGGCATCAATGAAAGAACTAAGGCCTTTGCAGCGCACGACAAAGTCCTGTTAACACGTTTAGATAGGCGTGACCACATTGTGCTCACGCTTCAATGTTGTATCACAGACAACAAAAATGAGCCACACTGAACGTGTTAAATAGTGACTGGTCACTGTCCTTGTCAATGCAACCATTTGACGTCTTCAGCTATCAGGCTCACATTATTATTTATCGGGATCGGGGTGTACCCGAACAGCCGGAGCGTATTCCCCTTTGCAGTCACCCTGTTCTGTACCCCGCATGAAGACACCCTTCTATCAGTTCATAGGCGCACGATCTTATAAATAACAGAGAAAAGGGAGCATTGTATGTAAATATCCTCCATCATTGGTACAAGTGTAGCAGGGGAAAGGGTTTCTAGCAGCTGCACACCAAAAGTCCTCGACCGTTTGCAGGAGCTTGAATGAGGGACCAAGGGACCATTCCAGTATTCGGGGGAATATGAAGCAGAATCCGCCCCATCGATATGAACCAGCCCTTGGAGCGACAAGCCAAGGTGGTATCCCTCCCGCGTACGCTACAAGACGTTTCGTAGACCATCATCATCGCAGACCAGGATCGTCCTCGACCGTCCTCGAAGACATTATATACTGCTACGCGCGGCACGCGGCGGCCTCCACCCGTCAATCCGCGCCACCCTCGCCTACGACAGTTTTACGATGACGTGCTAAACAAGGTCTGCTTCTCTGCATCTCTTTGATACGGACTATAACACTTAAAAGTTTTGTGGCTTTGGGACCTTTCTAAATCTTTGGCAGCTGCTGTGCGCGGCTGGCGGCTGCGGCCCACCCTGCTGGCACTGACGTCGGCCAAAACAGACCGGCTCGTAAACGCGTGGCTGCGACCGTGCGGCTGCGGTGTGCACTGCATGTGTGCGAATCCGTTCAGAGAAGGGCGGTGGTACGATGCGAGGCGAAGCGGGGCGAGGCAGAACGAGGCGGGGCGAATCAGGGCGGTGGCGGTCCCAGGAGGACAGGGTCTTGATCGTCCCCGCTGCGCGCCCCGCCCAGCTTGCCGCCCAGCTCACGGCAAACAAAAGGCTACCAACCGCTACGGTGCGATATAATTACACCTGCCGGCACTAATGGCCGGGCGGGGCGGGGCCGGGCGGGGCGGAGCGGAGCGGGGCGGGGCGGAGCGCCTCATGCTCATGCTCTATGCATCCCGCGCACAGGACCAAGGGCAAGTTCACCAAGGCCGCGCGCAGCAGCACTGCAAGAGACGTCTGCTGCAGGAGATAGAAAGAAAGGGGAGAAAGAGAGACGGACAGGAGAGAGACAGAGAAAGAGAGTGAGGACAAGGACGGATAGATTGCAGCGAAAGACATGGAGGTTATATTTTTCGGGGGGGTGAAAACAGGATGGA